ATCTGCCAAGGTTTTCTCATGCCCCCTTATAGCTCTCCTGAGCCCTTTCTTCAGCTCCTTCCTGGATAACTTGTATCCCTCTACAGCCTTTTCCGATCCTTGTTTCTGAAACCTTATTTAAGCATCCTTCTTCCTCTTAACTGGTCGTTCGACCTCTCTTGAGAACCAAGGCTCCCGCACTCGACCGCATCTTCCCTGCCTGCTAGGGACAAACATATCGAGCACACGCAGAATGCATTCCTTAAACAATCTCCACATTTCTATAGTGCTCTTCCCTGACAGCATCTGTTCCCATTTTATGTTACCCAGATCTTGCCTAATAGAATTATAATTACCCTACTCCCAATTATAAACCTTACCCTGCTGTATGTACCTATCCTTTTCCATGACTAATGTAAAAGTAACAGAGTTATGATCACTACCACCAAAATGCTTTCCTACCAACAGGTCTAAGACTTGGCCCGGTTCATTGCCAAGCACCAAATCCAAAGTGGCCCCTCCTCGTGTTGCTCTATCTACATACTGTGTCAGGGATCCTTCCTGAACACACTGGACAAAATCCGTTCCATTTAAACTATTACAACTAAAAAGTTTCCAATCAATATTTGGAAAGTTGAAGTCACCCATGACTACAATCCTGTGACTTCTGCACCTTTCCAGTATCTGCCTCCCAATCCGCTCCTCCACTTCTCTGCAACTATTAGGGGGTGTGTAAAAAACTCCCAACAAAGTGACTTCTCCTTTCTTGTTCCTGACCTCAACACAAACTGACTCTGTAGACATATCATTCTCGAACTGCCTTTCAGTAGCTACTATACTAACCCTGACTAGCAATGCCACTCCCCCACCTCTTTTACCACCCTCCCTATTTCTTTTAAAGCATCTAAATCCCGGAACTTCCAACAACCATTCCTGTCCCTGAGTTACCCAAGTTTCTGTAATGGCCACAATATCGTAGTTCCGAGTACTGACCCATGTTCTAAGATCATCCGCCTTATTTCTGATATTTCTAGCACTGAAGTATTCATCCCTATATCCACAATTACGCTCCATCGACCGCATTTCTTTATTAATAACTTCACTCCCTGTTGTGTCTTTCAGAAGGCTGAATACCTCATCCTCTGAATTACAAATCCAGTTTCT